CACCCTCATATAGAATTGGGATGTCGGAATAACAAAAAAACTAAGGGGTAGAATTAGTATGAAAAATCAGGGTCTTTCGACCACACTAACTAAATCATTCTCATTTTTTATATATGGTAGTAGATATAAATTTTTATTTTATTCTACAATTTTTGTTCATTTTTCTATAATTTATGGTTTTTCTTTCTTTTTTGTAATTTATTTTTTTTCTTCAATTTTTATGATTTTCTATATTTTTATTTTGTAAAATTTCTCTCCGTTTCTTTGTTTTTTTGTAAATTATATTATTTTATTCATTTTATGTGTTTTTTCATAATGATTTTATAATGACATATATACAACGGGAAAAAAATAGAAAGTTGAGGGTAAAGTTAGAAAGTAAAATCAGGGTGTTTTGACCAAACCAATTGCAACATTCTCATTTTTTAGTGTGGTAGGTATAGAAATTTCTATGATTTTCTATATTTTTTGCAAATTTTATATGCATTTCTTTGCTTTTTTTGTAATTTATATTGTTTTCTTCTTTTTATGTTTTTCATAATTATTTTGTAGTGACAATATATACAATGGGGAAAAATAGGAAGTTGAGGGTAAAGTTGGAAAGTAAAATTAGGGTGTTTTGACCAAACCCATTGCAACATTCTCATTTTTTTGTGTATTTCTTTGTTTTTTTTTTTTGTAATTTATATTGTTTTCTTCATTTTGAGGAGAAAGGTGTGTAGGATAAGAGAGACATCATTTTTGCTTCCTCTTTCCTACTGTAAAGTAGGGGGAATGGATAAAGATATACACTATGCAGAGACAGGTTTAAAGGAGAGAATTGGGGTTTTAGAATTTATGTCTTCGCTTAATGTGTGAATGATGACATTTGGCCTTTTGCCTCTTGCCATTTTGTTCATCAATGGTGGGGTTGTTATTTACATATCTAACGGCTAGCATCATGATATAGGTTGATCTTGATTCATTTATATTCAGATTCAAATCGAATATCCGCTTGATTTATATAGAAGAGTCCAGATCTCCTACCAACAAACTGCATTCCAAACCCCTACAACCCCTATGGTATTACGTTGGTAGGGTGTTATATTACCAGATTGGCTTGATGATCGTCGAGAAAAAAACACCCTAAAATAAATCAATATAATGATAAGAGCATTTCCTGATCTAATACAATTTATTACGTTAACGGAGGCAACTGAAGAAAAAAAAAACATGGGGAAAACAAAAAAAAAGGTTCATTTAATCATCTAATCGGTTGTTTCATGATGAAAAGAGAGAGATTGAAAAAAAATCCATTCCTCCCTTAAATTCAAATTCGTGGTTGGGCAAAACCATTTGATACCTGACACGTGTTGGCTCTAATCAATGAAAAGGTTCATCGGGTAGGTACTTCAGGAGAAGATCAGATAAGGCAAGGAGTAGGTTCTACAATAGTCTTATTATTATTTTACTTGCTTTATCCAATTACAAATGTTAATTGTTAATTAAATAAAATTGAAAAATAAAAAACATAACAAAGAGTAAGAATGGAAAAGGAAATCAAGCTTTAAAAAAAAATATGATAAAGGGTAAAAATGGAAAGTGAAAATTAAGCATTTTGATGAAACATTGTCATCATCCTCATTTTTATAGATGGTATAGAGATTATCCAATTACAAGTGTTTATAGTAAACCGTTCATCAAATAAAATTGGAAAAATAAAAACATAATAATATAAAGGGTAAAAACGGAAAGTGAAAATTAGATTTAAAATACAAAACATGATAAAGGGTAAAAATGGAAAGTAAAAAATCAGGCTTTTTGACGAAACGTTATCACCATCCTCATTTTTATAAATGGTTAACCATTAATTAAATAAAATTGGAAAAATAAAAACATAAAAATATAAAGGGTAAAAACGTAAAGTGAAAATAAGCTTTAAAATACAAAACATGATAAGGGTAAAAACGGAAAGTAAAAATCAGGCTTTTTGATGAAACATCTTCATTTTTATAAATGGTTAACCGTTAATTAAATAAAATTAGAAAAATAAAAATATAATAATATAAAGGGTAAAAATGGAAAGTGAAAATAAGCTTTAAGATACAAACATGATAAGGGTAAAAGTGGAAAGTAAAAAATCACCTTCCTCATTTTTATAAATCAGGCTTTAAGTTTAGCCACTTGTAGGGGTGGATTCGAGCCCAATCGAGCCGAATAGTTATTTGAGCTCGGCTCACCAAGGTAGTACGAGGCTCAAGCTTGGTTCGAGCTAGAACCTTGAGCTCGAACTCGGCTCGAATCAAAAGCTCATAAGCTTGAGCTCGACTTGAGAAAAATGTTTTATAAAAATAATATATGTATGTATAAAATAATTTTTATTGGATATTTTAAAAATTAAGAATTATAATAATTAGTTATTATTTTATATAGAAATAAAAATATTATATATAAATTATTTTCTATTATTATTATTATTATTATTATTATTATTATTATTATTATTATATGTATGCTATTCAAGCTCGGTTGAAACTGAGCCGAGCCGAGCTCGAGTAGCTTGTGAAGAGCTCGGCTCATGTCCACCCCTAGCCACTTTTCAAACCGTTCTTTCAAAAGTGAGTAGTAGTTAAATAAAAAGAAAATAAATAACTATTTCTCATCTCTATAAAAATAAAACTTAATTTAATTTGTTAAATTAAATAATAAAAATGGGTGTTAAACAAAAATGATAAGCATACCTGAGTAAAAAAATATATCAAAATACTAGCCCATACTTAG